TCACTTTAACGTTGCAGCTGGTAAAGGTAGAGCTGGGTAGTTTACCTTGGCTATAATAATGCATCATCACTTATTCGTTTATTTCTATTATTAATAATTAAATCTGCAAAGTAATTTAAGCTTTCAGTTGAATGTAGTGCAGTACAAAAGTCAAAGTCTCCAAAATGTAGTGTAGAGTGGAAATACAAGTACCTTCAAATTTACTTAAGTTGTGTACTTAGTTTCATTCCACCACCGACTGGAATAATCATTACCGTCCTGTTTAGATGCTTTAACCTAATAAAACAATCATTTCTAGCATGTTCAGCCTAATAAACTATAGTTTATAGCAAATTTATTTGCACTTGTAGCATGTTTTAGGTTGAACAATAATGTACCATTTCTTAGCTAATTTAGCCCAATAAATCGGTTTGTACATCTTATAACCCAATACATTTTAACAGGACGTTTCAACATGTTTAGTTAGCCAAATAAACTAGAACCATACATGAAGCATTTTGTCTTGTTGATGTGAAACATAGTCTTTTAAAGTCCAAATAGCATTAAACTCACCCTGTCTGCTTTATCCTCAAACTGGTTGCGAAGCCGCGTTGCGTTCATTGTGTTCATCGTTCATTGTTGCCTCCATGTTTTCTTGTGTTACTGCAACTGCGGTTTTAGGAAGCAATTAAGTGAAACTGAGCCGTTTGACTAATTACTGACACAACTGTAGCGCTAATCATGTTCAGGAAGCACAACGCGCGCTTGGAGAACTCACACAGGTGTTTCCACTTCGTCCTGATTGGACTTCCTCTCAGGTCTGAGTGGCCGTGTGCAGAACCTCCCACTTCATTGTCATCACAATCCGGTTTACTGCCAAGTAGGTTTCATTTACAAGGAATGTGCTTTGGTATGTTGGTGCATAACATAAACAGAGTAAGACAATTACAATGGAAATAAAAAAAAATCAGAAACATGACCATAAAATAGAAGAAAATTATGTAAAGAAAAGTTCAATATATCTGAATTAAAATGAAAGAGCTGTGTGTTTTTTAGCAGAATATAATATGATGTTACTGTGGGAAAACTTACACCCTATCCTTTATCATTATATGTTTTGCATCATAATCAGTGCAAATCATGGACACGCTTTATATAAATCTTTATAATAATAATATAATAAAAACCATGAAAATACCTTCATCTCCCCGGTACATTGAGTTAGGAACCCATGAAACCTCTGCCAAAGATTGTTATCTGAACTCAGCACCCAAACTAATTAAAATATATATGAAGATGTACCGTCCCTCTCGGTGACCTCATGGCTGCTACTAAGCCTGTACGATCTGGTCTATTTCTGTGGTGACGAAGTTGATAAATGCAGTTAACATAAAACCATAGCTAACCGAAAGCTGCTGAACCTCAACCTGAGCTCTCCGGGCACATGTCTGGTGGATCTCAAACCCCTTTCATCATATTATTGAGGCTACTGATGTGGGAAGAAACTCAGTGCAGACCACGGTGAAGGCTGTTTAGGATGTGGTGCGTTCATGAGCTGGTGAGAGGCCTTGAAATCTGCTGCTCTGTGAACACTACTCTACAGACGTACTTATTGTCATCGACCATCTTTTATCTGACTTCGTCAGCACCTGTCCTTAAGTAAACTGTACTGTTGCGTGCTGTTCATTTTTCTCCATAAAAAAAAAAAAAATAGAGCTTCTTCTCTGTCTTAATTTGCTCAGCCTGAGCTGCGACTTGATGAATGCGCTCGAACACCGAAAGCTACCGGTGTCAAAGCAGCTGAGGAAGACTGATTTAAACCATTTCATCTCATCTCATTCCACATCCTCTGGTCTCCCGCTCTGCTTCTGCAATCTTCCTTCCCTCTTTCCCTTCATTAGATTGAGCCCTTCTCCTCGCTGAAAGACGGAGAAGAACGCTGGTTATTCAAATTCAAATTCAAATCAACACTGACAGAGGAGCAGATGTAAAGAGAAAGAGAGAGAGAGAGAGAGAGAGAGAGAGAGAGAGAGAGAGAGAGAGAGAGAGAGATACAAAGCTTGTACCTGACATTGTTAGTATTAATGTGATTCCACTGCGAGGGTCGGGATCGATGCAGTCAGATGAGGGACTGCGTTAACATCCTAATCTCTAATAGCATCAGAGCAGCAAGACTATAAAAACCTCTACCAGCTCAACCATGCACACACACACCGACACACACACACGAGCACAGATGGAGATGATAAGAGAAGACGGGGGAGACACGAGGAGCCATTAGAGGAAGTCCTGTATTGCGTGTTGAAAGAGAATACCCAGATAGCCTCGATGACCCTCATGGCTGACGGTTCCTTCACTGCGGTTCTCACCAACAGACGGCAGCGATACAAGGAAAAACTGATTTATAAATCATTTAGAAACCAGAAAGTGGAGATCCATTTTCATTCATCGTGTTCATTTTGATGCTCTCTGGAGACAAGAAATTTAAGATTTTACAAATTGGAGCATGGCTCTCTCTCTCTCTCACGACCAGTTAGCTCACACATTAGCTCACGTTTGAAGAAGCAGTGTGTGGGATTTAGTGACATCTAGTGGTGAAGCTGCAGATTACAATTAACTGAATACCCCTACGCTTACCTCTCGCTTTCCAAGTGGCCCTGAAGGTAGAGTAAACATGTGAAAATCTCTCTGTAGAGCCAGTGTTTGCTTTGTCCCCAACGTCCCAAACATTCGACTCTTATAGTTATTACGTTTCTTTGAAAAGTCATTTATTTTGGAAGTGAGGAATACCAACTTGCAATCATCGACTTCTGACTTGCAGCAACAGTAAAGTATGTGAACAGTTCTGTTCACGACGCAGCCGGTTGTCTACGCGAACGAGTGGTTAAGAAGCAAGTATATCTGCGGCTTTATATCCCACTATAGACAGAAGAACCTTCCTGAGCACCATAGTTTTGCCATATTTAAATAAAATTATGGTGGCAGCTTTGTTCAGGGTAGAAATCTTCTCAGTTCACAGGAAGTGACAAGTCAAAACTTCGCAGTAAAATGCAAAGTTGCTCCTGCGGAAAAAGATCTTTTACTGTCAGAGTTCATACTGAATGAAGGACTCATGTCACATCAGCTGAAAGAGGCTTCCTGTCGTCCCTCGACCTTTTATGAAAAGCTTTTTGCTGATCAAAGTTGGACAAAGGCAATCTTTATCATTCCATGGGCTCCATTGCTTCGAAACATTCCAAATCTAATCTGGCTCATTAGTAGGCCTCTGGAGTGCTCGTCTCATACCGCAGACACAACCTCTGAGACTCGCATGTGTGCACGTGTGGGACGGCATCTTTAATTACCCAGGTAACAGCCAGATGCTCCATCACTCTGGCAATGGCAGTGATTAAAAGCAGTAAAATATTCATTTCAATCAGACACCCACATGCCACATGTATAATTAATGCACAGCGGAAGGACACAGCAACTTTTTTACTACACTCACACACACACACACATTTCCATCACCATATTCCCTCTGCATGTCACAGCCAGCTGCTGCAAATGTGTGTGTGTGTGTGTGTGTGTGTCGGGACTGGATCTGGGAAATGGAGCCGTGGATGAGCCACTTCGAGCAACGCTCCACAGGGAGGTCAGAGGGCAGCCAGACTGCATTCTGGGACATCATTCAGCCACCTACACAGCAGATGTGTTGGGTTGCTCTCTCACCGCCCCGACTCTCTCTGGGAGTGTTTCTTGTTGGTGGAAACAGTCTCACCGTGCATTCAGCTTTCTCTGTTGTGGGTGTGCTACCTTTTTCTTTTTGTTTTCCTCTTCTCCTTCCTCTTTTTCTACACGCTGCTCCGCTTTGGCAATCTCTTGGAATACCTGCGAGCGGTTTAGTCAGAGGTCTTAGACGCAGTCTGATGTCTCTAGTGGGCGGAAGAATACACAAACACAGGACAATCCGAGACTTGAGGTGAATTCGCAGACATGAAGTAGACACCTGATTTCTAACTAGATCTGCCTCAGGCTGCGCATGTGAACACAGGGAAACCACATAGAACAGGAGGACTTTCCCTTAAAATATGTAAAGAAAAGAAATGTGATTTAAATGATAACACCATAAAGATGTTCCCTTTCACAAACCTGAAATAAATCTGTTCTCCTGTCAATCCCCACGGTTCCACTTTGTCTACTTTCTATTTCCGTCCTTTCAATCCCTCCGACTGCTGCCTCTTTGTTTTCCCTGATTAAGCCCTCTGTCCCGGTATTGTTTCAATTTCAGCAGTAGGCTACAATTACTCAGCGCAGTGTGTGTGTGTGTGTGTGTGTGTGCGCGTATGTGTTGTACCACGCTCATTACAATTACCTCTGGGTGCGAGTGTGTCATCTGTCGCCTGCTCATGTTCCAACTTCTCTCCGAGTGGTGAGGGAGCAGCATCCAGATGCTTCGCCGTGCAGCAGAGACGAGGAAAGATGGGAAAGTCTGAGAGCTGTGGATCCGGAACTAAGGGTCAAATCTTTGTGACCTTTGTGAGGAGCAATAGACGCAGTAAGACGTCTGGGCTTTAGTGAGCTTCAGTTCAGGCTCGTCTTCTGCAGCAGGAAGCACTGAGGTCCATGCTCACGAGGGGAACTTTGGATGTTGCAGAGATATAAGGCTGATCTTGTATTCAAGAAGCAAGAACGTGTAACAGTTGGCAGGCATTACAAAAGCAGTGCGGTGAAGCAGACTGGTAGGAACTCCAGCAGCTTTCATGCGATTACGACTGGCTCGGTTTTAATCTCGTCTACGAGATATCCCGACTGAACGTCTGTCTGATCAGCTGAGAGGCCAAGCAAGGGTTTGTCCCCCAGGAGCCCGGCATGAATAAGTAAATGCTACTACTGTTACTACCACACATCCACCACTTCAGAGGAAGACACGTCCACATCTCCTCTCACCCGCTGTCTACTCGTTCGGTTGTGTGAATGGGTTATCTTTCTCTCTCACTCTCTCACTCTCTCACACACACACACACACACACACCTCATTGCTGCTGTTGATAAATGCACATCTTTGATCCACTTTGAAAACAAGCCAAAATATTGAAGAAAAAAATAAATCTCATTTTCTTCTGGAGGTTTTTATTGTTTTCGCTTGTCATTTGCAAACAGAGCACGTTCCTGCTGAGTTATTGATACGCATATTTTTGCATAAACCCCATCACTGGCCACTTATTGTAGCGTAGAAACAGACTCTCATACAGACCCAGCAGGTAAAACAAAGCTTCCATAGACGGTGTATTGACTGTCTGATGCTTTGAAAGCTTGAAACCCTGAAGATAAAAATGCATGACGCAAATGAAATAATTTATCAGTTTGACAACACAGTAGTACTTTTTTTTGATTTCACAGTTTAACCAAATGTGCAAATTGTTTCAGCACCCCCCCACCCCCCCACCCCCCCATTCACAGTGCTTCTGCTCCCGCAGGCTGTTGTAAATAAGGATCTCAGTCAACTTGCCTTGTTAAAAAATATTTTACAAAACCAGTAGTCATAATTAGAATGTAGATGTCCTCTGCCTGCCGTGGACGAAGCCTCCGACATGCACACGCGAAATGCTTACTCGCGCGTCTGTTGCCACGTGTCAATGAATAATGCACATATTAATCCGGCAACTTGTGGAAGCTTTACCGACATTCATTCAGCATTCTCTCCTGTTCGAGGTTATCTCATTAACGTGGCATCTTTGTAGTCACTAAGCATGAATAACATTCTCTGAAGCTCAGTCAGCGGGAGGGAAAGGTTAGGAGGGGCCTTGGGTTTCGTTTTCTTTGCTGACTTTTTCCAGTTTTCTCCAGAGCCACTTCTTCTTGCCACAGTACCCCCCCCCCAGCTTCACCCTCCATTATGCTGGCAACCAGAGGGAGTCTGTGGTGCAGAGAAAAAGGACTGACCCTGTGATGGTAGAACTCCTTCACCAAATTGAATAGACGATGAAAACTGGCTTGAATAGTGCAACGAATATGGTCGCTGACCAGTCTGTGGAAAAAAACTAGAAGTTTGTGAGGATTTTAAAAGCCCTGTCAGCTGGGCTGGGGTCCTTCCACCTCAGCAGGAGCAGGGACAGCGGCGGCTACGGCTAACTCTGAAGCTACCGACGGGACTGGTTCTTGAGTTTCTTGGTCCACATTTGAGGATGAAGGGAGGGCCGTTTGGGCAAGCAGAGCCGCGGGCAGTCCGGTGGGGAGTGAGCCCGGGATGTGGGACAGGCGGGGCTTGCGTGCCCCTTCTGGACCTCCTCCCTCCTGGTGCTTGACGGTTTCCAGCAACATGCGCACACTCTTGGAGAAGACGGCGCGAGGGTCAGTGGCTGGTAGAGCCGGGCAGGAGCAGCTCTCCCTCAACTCCAGAGCCTGGAGACAGAGTGGAGAGAGAAGCACACTCGTGAGTGAATACTGACGCATCGTGACCCCGGACAAGGAGTTCATTAATAACGACCAGTACAAAGGTGGATACGAGACGTTTCTGTTCGCAGTGCAGTAGAAGAAGAGAGCAGTTACTTGTTCTTTGTGATAGGCAGATAAGATATTTGATCAGAAACGCTGAACTGAAAGGAACGCAACACAAAGAAGAGGATGAGAAGCATCAAAGACAGACAAACACAATAAAGACGAAGACACTGAGACACTTTGGCAGCTCTGTGAGGCTGCATTATACCGCAGTGGTGCTTTAGGCTAAATGCTAAGACATCTTTGTTTAATCTGTCCTGTAGTTGTTGAAACATATCCTAGAGGCTAAGAAATATAGCTAAAGATGCGACCTCTCTTCCCTAAATCAATCCCATACAGGTCGGATAAGCAGAGCTGGACAGAACTAACTACAAGCACTTCCCTAACTGCCTCGCACACCCACCCACAAACACCCACCAAAGTCATTAATCCCTCACTTTAGAATCACCTACAAGACTTATACGTACACGCTCTTGGCTTCCCACTCAACAGGCTCTCCCTCTCATGCTGCCGGTGGACTTAATGCGCTTTGCTCAAAGATGATGAGCCCACTAGTGGAGGCGGAGTGCCCTCAGAAGAGTCGGGTTAAGTAGCTCGATGCTGTCACCTCTCGCAAGGTTAAAAACATCACATTATGCACCACTTTCACCAGACTCAGCTCAGCTGTTAACTGGCTCACATGTGCTGCCGCGCTGGATCGAACCGTGTGGAGTGAGGAGGGTATGTAACAGAGAGTTTACTCAGCGCTCACCCACCCACCCACCCACCCACCCACCCACACACACACACACACACACACACACGGCTGAATCCCCAAAACAACAGTCTTCAGCACTACACTGCCTGTGGCTGCAGCAATCTACCACACAGGGATGTGATATGATGTGCAGGCACAGACATGTAACACACACTCGCACATGGAACATGTCCACACGCTCACAACGACACTGGCACCTGATGGACAATTAGTGGTCTACCCATCTGTTCATCTTTCCTGCTTGGAGCATCTGACGGTGTTCACACAGTCCACCTCTCGCTCAAGGTTAAACTCTGTCGAGTACATGCGTCGAGTCTCTTTCTCTCTGCCTCAGACGCAAACAATGAATGTGGAATGACGACGCTGAATAAACCACTGACACAGTGTGGGAACACTTGAGATCGTGCTGCTATCATTTTTGACTGCTTTTCTTTCAGGTCCTGAACTCAAAGCCTCAAAGACATTTAATAAAGCAGAGCCATGTGTGGGCAAAAAAAACATGTTTTTTCCTGTCTTGCTAAAACCTTGCATCTTTTCCTCTCCTCCCAGAGCCTCTCCTTCCTCCCTGCCCTCCTCGCCACATGTCTGCGGGTGGATACCCGTCTCTCCAGACGATTCATTAGTTACATGAAGACTCCTCGCAACAGCCCCTTAAGCTTCACTGTTTCTTCTAAACAGCAGACGGGTGCGGGGCTCTCTGCTCACACAGGGATCAAAGAGTCTTTTACTTCAGACGAACACATGAATCAGAGCAGCAGCAATGCGTTTACTTATGTAATTGTGGTACTAAACATGTTATTTGAACTGTGTGTGTGTGTGTGTGTGTGTATACCTGTGGCATGAGGCGGTCCAGCTGAGTGAATCTGTTCTTGTGCGACGGGTGTGTGGACAGCCACTCGGGGAAGGTGGGCTCTCCTGTCAGCTGGTCTCTGATTTCCATTTGCTGCCAGAATACGGGTCCTGCTCGCACATCTGCACACGCCTGGAAAGGACACACACACACACACACAAACACACACACACAATGAGGCATCCCTGTGTCTTGTGCCGAGATGAAAATCCTTACTGACATCTGAGTCTAGTTTAGTTTGACAACAGTGTCCCCTAGTGGCCTGCAGACAGCGAGGTTTGAAACCACAGCTACATTACAGGAGTAAACTATTTAGTACTGCACTGTTATGAAGTTGGGGAACTTAAAAATCAATGGCCAACTTTCAGTCCCCTGCTGGATCCTACATTTTGCATAATGCAACGCAATAGCATCTTTCATTTGACATCCCAATCTTTACAATCTGCCACTTCCAGTTTGTAATGCAGGCTCGTTACATCGAAAGCACAAGCCAAGATAACTCTGACGTCATCCGGCCAAACACAGACCGAAAACAAGCAAAAAACCAACTGGAGAAAAGACAAAAACGGACGGAAATCCAACTGTTTTGGAAACTGAACTTTATGTGCAAACTCAGTGGATTGTTCCTTTAAGTATGATGATACCTTTGCAGCCAACTGCAACCCGACTTTGTCGGCCTCAGCCTCCAGTTTCCTGCTGAAGGGACGGTTGAACATCAGCTGAGGGAGAAAAAAAAAAGATGATGTATGAGGTTGTACAAAATTCATACATATTCCCCGTTTTTAAAAGTCTATTCCAGAACAAAAAGAAAATCGTTGCCAGTTGATTGAACGTTGTGTGCAAAGTACGAACACTGTGATGTCTTGTCAGGAGATTGTGTGACATTCTGGAAGAGGTCTCACCTGGGACAGCTTGTCCTGGACCCACTGTCCCAGCAGAGCCAGGCTGTCTCGAGGACACACGGCCCAGATGGCTGTCAGCAGAATCAGGGACAGGAGGTCCACGACATGAGACAGACTGGCCTGTTCTGCCTGGGGGGGGGGGGGGGGGGGGGGGGCAGAGGGATGACAGGGAGGTGACAGAGGAGACAAGGAGGGAATGTAGAAAGGATTAAGGGTTAAAAAAAATAAATGGAAGAGAATAGAAAAAGTTTTTGGGAGGTGAACAAGGCTGCTGGAGCATATTGATTGTTCCCATCTATTTCAGAGGAACTTTTTACGCTATAACAGATTTAGAGGTTTTAACAGCCGATCCAATAGAGCGCACCTACTGGGTAATACCAAGCACATCGATGCTCATTCCCTTCATCTAATTAAAATCTCCTTCAAGCATTTCCTCCGAGGACGTTTAAAGTCTTGAAATACCCACAACTTCATTAGACACTTTTTCTTTTTTTTTCTTTTTTCTGAAGAACAAGACGAATCGGCTTTTGTAGAGTAAAAAAAACAGCCGTCAGTGGAGAATTAACAAAGCTCGGCGGCGCCCTCGGTGGACGGGGCTTTGGACGCCGCGGTGCAGACGGGATCAGTGAGCGTTTGGAGGTGATTGTCAGGGAGTCTTCTTCACCGGCTGATGCAACAACACCGCAACTGGTGCCACTTCAGCCATTAGTACACGTCCGAGATGGAGCTGGGGAGGGGGGGGGTGCTGATGATGAATCATCGGGAGATTTCAGTGTATAATGCACATCCCTATAGGAGGTCCACATACATATTTATCTCACCACCTTGTGTGGGAGAGACCTGGAAGACTTCCAGCTGTAACTTTCTACTCTGTGTGCCAACGCAGGCTTTTAAATGACTTTAAACTTTGTTCTGGAACATTGTTTCAGATGACTCATCTGTGTGCACGGTGAGGGTCTGCTGCTGGCAGCACGTCGTTCTCCACAGAGCTGCGTCTTTGTTTTCCATTTAAATAGTTTGGCTCCGTCGTGCAACTGCAGCTCGCATTGAATTAATGAATGAGAGAATTATGTCTGTAAATAAGTACAGTGGTAGGTTTAATTCCCTCCCCATTGCGACAGCCGCACTAACAATGAGGGCCTGTTGCTACTGCGCTGTGAGGCAGCGGGAACTAAATGTGTTTGAAGGTGATAAAGGCAAACTAATGAGCAGATATTTTGGTGGAGAAATAAAGGGACGGACTCCAATGTCAGGTGGAGCGCTACTGTAAATAATAATAAGCTCTGTGGAGATATAATCAGGGGTAGAAAGAGGTGACACCATCACAGAGCGTACTTACAGAGTGTCCCAATACAGCATGAGCCATCTCGTGTCCCAGCACAACGGTGAGCTGGTGGACGTCCGTCACCGCCTCCAGCATCCCCGCAAACATGAACACTTTCCCGTCCTGCGTAAAAAGGAAAGAACAATCCAAGTCTGAGACGACGTCGTGACACGAAGGACACGTGTAGCTCTACATGCCATCTTCCTTCTACTGACCGGCAGGACGAAGGCGTTGACGTCGGGACTCTGCACCACGTGGACGCTCCAGGTGACTTCAGACACTTCAGGGATGTCCTTGTTTCTTTGGGCCAGGTGCTGCACCACCCGCTCCACCACCTGGTGACGAGGGTCGGTGACTGGAACCAGCAGCTCCGCAAACTCCTCCATGTACTGAAGGACACACACACACACACACACACTTGAGCATTTTAGGAATAATTTAATTTGCTTAATTCCTCCTCATATTCAATTTTCTCTCCCTCCTTCAGTCATCCATTTACTAAATGCCATCTCACTTGTTTTCATCTAAATTAATCTTATTAAAAGTGTTGGAAAGATAATTTGTAATTTTCTCTCTCTCTCTCACCACCTCTGAAGTCAGGGCTGCCAGCTCCATGTACTTCTCTCTGCTGAACAGGAGGAGGCGGGTGCGTCCCGTCACCGGGGACTCGTCCAGGTGGGTCAGGAGGAGGAGGGCTACAATCACCATAGTAACGCCTGCCCCCGCTGCCAGATGCCAGCGGCGCTGACGGACCCAATTGCGAAAGAGCTGCCGGCGGTCGGCCGACAGAGCCACCCACCACTTCCTTATACTCCTGTGCACAGGGGGAAGGTGCTGAGGTAGCTCCCACAGAATCACGCTGTACGTTTAAACATCACATACTGCCCCACAGTGGGACAGAATGAAGAGAACATAAATCATTTAATTCTCCTTTCATGTCTGGCAAATTGGCATGTTTGGAATTTAGTAAAAAAAAAAAAAATGCAAAAACCACTGAGATCTGAAAGTAGGTCTGGCCAAGAAAGCAGCATCAAAACATGCATAAAATATGCTCACAACAGCATAGCATGCACAAAACACTGGAGTGAGTTTGTGTGTTTTTCCTAAGGAGGCAGTCAAATATTTAAGGAGACAAGTAGGCCAAGACAGAACACCTCTCTGTAGAGCGGGGAGTTTCATGGTGGGGGAGCTGGAAATGCTTCCAAATTCATCTCTCTGACCCAAAATAGAACCGAATAAACGAACGACGCCTCACTGATGAAAGTGTGCTATGGAGCCTCACGTGTGCCAAATGATGCTATTATTATTGTTATGAATTTAAAGTTAAATTGGTTTCAGATTAGTGTAGCAAGACGTAACAGACAAGACACAACAAGACACAAAGTGTTTATTTAATGTTATGTCACTTTATGTTGATGTGGGGCCGTGTATTAGAGGAGCAGGCAGTCTATTGTGGAGGGTTACACGTGTGTGTGTGTGTGTGTGTGGTAGCAGTAGGAAGGAGTGGTTACATTTAAAAAAATCAATTAAATTAAATACAAAAACAAAGGAGGATAGAAATTTAAATTACATAAGACAAATATGTACACATATTATGGTAATGAAAGAGAGATTTTTTGTTATCAGTTAATTAAAAAACTGTTAATTAACAAAAACAATGGCAACAAAGTAACTTATTTGTCAAATCAAATGACCCAATTTATACAACTGCTAATAAAACAATTAAGAACACATTACTACATTAAAGTGGTAATTAAATAACATTGTGTGTCTCCTACCTGCCCAGGATTATAGCCACGAGCTTCTGCAGAGGTTTGAGCATCAACCATATGAGGGGGGCGGGCAAGGCCCTCGCGGGGGCTGAGGTGTGGAACAGGTGTCCCAGGAGGACGAGACCGGAGTGCACAGGTAAAGGGGGTTTGGGACCGATCTGGCAACACGCGGTCCTCCCATTGTTAAGGAATAGGAGAGGCGATAACTTTGAAGTGGCTCTGAGGTGAACAGAGTTTGATGGAGGAGTCTGAGAGGACACCCAGTAGTGTGTCTTCTGCACGGGACGTCCAGCTTGTGCGCAGCAGACCCGGAAGTGTCGTGTCAGATGAGCGGAGAGAGAAGAGAAGCGACTGCTCCTCAAAACACAAAGTAGAAGCATCGTCCTTGCTGGTGACGCAAAAAAGTATTGTTTGCAAACTCAGACGACGCAAACACGTCCGTCTGTTGTTATATAAGAGGACTGGTATTCCTCATGTTGAAGTAGAAATGACTGTCATCGGACGTTTTAGTTTCCTTCCGTTTTTAAAATAACCTCGAACTGTTCCCAGCTGTCAATGTCACTGCTAGCCGGTGGACGCTAGCTACATTTAGCCTTGTACCGCTGTCCGCAGAACTAAAATGTTTATCTGGTTCAAACGTTTATTTCATAGCGCCTTAACACGTCGAGATAAAAAAATAATTTTAGTTCCTTTGCGACGCGAATCGTCTGCACTGTTGACCACGGAACTTTGGACAGTTAGACGCTTCCGCTTCCAAAATGATTCCCCCTAGAAACGACTCCGCGACGGACGTTCCGGCTGCACAGTTAGCGTCTCGCAGTAGATTAAAGAAACATAATCATCATAACATGTTTCATCCGTCTTATGTCTGTATGTTTCGTGTTACACCATTAACTGTATAATTTCTCACTATTTAATATTATAACTATCATATAACTTTGTATTCAATAGAAATAATAGAGCATCTTTGGTTAAAGTTGTCAGTTGCATTATTAGCCTTTGTGCCTCACTTAAAAAGGACCAAAAATTAATTTAATTTCAGAATTCTAACCCTTTTAAATGTTGCTTACGTAACGCCACAGTTGTCATTAACCCCCTGCCCCCACAAAACTTAATTATTTTCTGTGCTATTTTTTTCAGCCTGGGATGTCAATGATTGGCAACAACTTCGCTTTTTATGCATGAAACACTGCAGTGCTCCTAAATACAGCAGCACTCAATCTGGTGGAAAAAAGTGCAACTTTGAAGCCAGGGCTCGAGATTGAAAGTCTGATATGTTGGAATAAATGATTTTATGATGTAATGGATTTGGGATTAAAGTTTGTCCTTTTTTTAATAGGTTTCAATGGGGACATTTAGGGTCTGATCATCTGTGTTTTGGCTACAGACTTTATTATCATTGACTTATTATTCAGGTGATGAGGTAAAACTTACGCCCATGCCAAAATGTATGCCAAATGCAATAACACAGAGAAAATGATCGAACCGTTAAAAGAGAAAAGCCAACCTACTAATGATGAATCCAGGTAGATAATTTTAACAAAAATAAACGTACTACCATAGAAGCTAAGCATTTTCCTTTGACGGAAAAGAAAACGGCAAAGGTCTGACTTCTATTTTAGACATTTTGGTCAAAAACGACAGCATTTAAAAGCACTGTAACTAAGTATCGGGTTATCAAACTATTACACAAATATAACATAAAACAAGAGGCCAAAATATATAAATCCATTTTTATTTTCCTGTTTAAAAGAAACCTGCAGAACTGAGAAACTTTTTCTCCCCAATAACACAAATCTTTCTCTTTCTTTCTAGTTTTTTGGTTAAAGCATTGAACAAAAAATAACAAAATGTCCAAAAACTAAATGAGTAAGTTGGTAATACTGATACAAAACCTTATCGTAAAGCTTTTGCTGCATTAAATATTGTTTAAGCACAAGCAGGGTGAGATACGTCGTCCATCACAGTAAATAGTCGTGTTCACTCGACAACACAGAGCCCAGATGTAAAACTGTGCTGCTGTTTGTCTCAAACTGTGAGTCTGTGGTTTGTACGCTGGTGTCTGAAGCTCTGCCAGAGTCTGGATCAGAGCCTCCTCCTCCTCCTCTTCCTCTTCCTCCCTCCGGAGGCTTCTCCTCACTGAGCAGCTCGTCAAAAGCAAAGTCATCCAGGTCCACCGGTCTGTGTGAGGGATTCAAAGACTCTTCCTCTTCCTGGTCAGACGGTTGCTCCTGGGCAATGAAGTCGGCCTGGAAAAGGGCCTGGATCCGGGTGAGGAAGGGGTCTCCCTCCTCATCTGGCAGGGGCTCCATGTACCTGGCCAGAGACGACAGCATCTAAGGGGAGGGGCCAGGTGGAAGAGGTACAGTGAAATGAGACAGAGAAAATAAAACTGCAGAACAGGGAACACTGGGATGTGTGAACGGACCTTCTCCAGACAGGTGAGATGGGAGTCTTTCCGGAAAAATCTCTCCATCGGCACACTCCTAGAAGAAGAAGGAACAGTTTAGATGCTTCATCTTTAAAACAGTTACCTCGCCCTAACCAAGACAAACTAAAACTAATTATTAGGAATTGGGCAATATAGAATTTTTTATCTTGGCTCATGATAAAAAGAAACGACTCACAACAAGTTGATTGTTTGTGTTTCACTAAAAAGACGCGTGTCCTGTCTGTGACGCAATACAGATATTTGTTTCTACACAAACAGGAAAGGTAAAGTAATTCCAGTATGTTTTAAGAGTTTTAAGCATATTTTGGTGATTATCGGGAATCGCAATTATTTTGACCAGGATAAGACTAAAACTTTCTGAAAAACTTAAACTTAACAAACTCACTCTGAAGACTAACTATAACTAAACTAGAATAAAAAGGATTCCAAACTATTCCAGCCTTGGTCAGGACTCGGTTCCCACTCACCCGGCTGATTGACAGTATTTGTAGATGATCCACTGAGCTCTCCTCAGCGTCTGTTCCCAGTCTGGAATGTCTTGTGATGACAGGAAGTCGAATCTATAGGGCAGCTCTGGAGGGGGGGGGGGGGGGGGAGAGAGAGAGAGAGAGAGAGAGAGAGAGAGAGAGCGAGAGCGAGAGCGAGAGAGAGGATAAACTGTGCTACTGTGTGATGAAATCACTGACCTACATTATCAGCTGGATTTCAAAGCCTCTTGATCTTAACTGTTTTGAATCATGTCTTCGTGTGTGTGTGTGTGTGTGTGTGTGTGTGTGTGTGTGTGTAACACACTCTGAGGGCCTGAAGGCTCCTGGCTCTCTTTCACCAACAAGCAGGTAGTTTGGGAGTGGGGGGAGGGGTTGGCCGGGTCGTACGGGCTCACGATCATCCCGATGAAGGGGGCTCCGCCACGAGAGAAGTAACTCTGGAACAACCAGGACAGAGGAAATCAGATCACACATTCAAACCAGAACGTTCAAACTCGTCCTTTCAATGTCACGCGTTAATAAAAACCTGCTGGATCAGACAGTGATCAAATATAAGAAACAGCCGGTGAAACACATTCAATTTCCTGTAAATTCGTCGCAATAAAAGTCCTCTTCCTCCCTGTAGTATTACTAAACATGTTATTGACAAAGCTAACGCTAAAGCTACGCTAAATCAACAAGTGTAACCAAGACCTATTAAACCAGTGGGACTTCTTTGACGGACCGCTCTTACCTGGAACTGGTCCTGCGTGTTTATGTCCCGTACTGAAGGGTTTGGGTGGAAGGTCGGGTGCGAGTGGTACCAGCCCACCACGCTGAGGCCCAGAGACGACAGCACGTCGCAGGCCTGCGTCTGAGACAGCGGGTCCATCTCACACTGCAGACCCGTGCTCACACTGTTGCACGGCTCTGCTGCACAGATCTGCACAGAACACACAGACTGCTGTACACAGTGACACAAAGAAGAAATAAAGTGTTGCTTTCCACTCCGTTCTCTACCTTTAACACTCTCTGCTCCTCGTTGAAGGTTCCACCGAGCAGGCCGATGACTTCCCCCCGCGACACGTGGGCATGCTGACAATCACAACACACATTAGAATACCATTAATGATAATAAATGAATGACAGGCTTGCAGCTAGGGCGGGGCAAAATGGCCAAAATCACAATAGTATACTAATTAAATACTTGACAAATGAGTATTTTCTCATTTAATTAAGAACTCTAGTACAAAATGATCAGATTTTCTGAGAAATAAGTGTTAATATGTGCTTGTTATTATCAATTAAGATCATTTAACTGTGTCTGAAGATGTCTCCATGAAGGATTTCTTCACCATATGATTCCATTGAAAGACGGTAAAGGATCATTGTGAAGTATCGGCCAGCCCTCCTTGCACGTGATACAAAGGGGAGAGTACATTCAGCTGGTTGTGTGTAAAGCATACCATGTCCATTATGAGAAGAGTCTCTGCACACACAATAACCTGGAATGGTTCCTGGGAAGAACAGCAAAGGAGAGCTTTTAATCCTTATCAAACTAACAAAGAGACATCGTACTGCTGATGACTGAATGACGGATAAACGGCCACTGACCTGCACATCCTCTCCAAAAGACCTGCAGGGAATCAACTGGAAGGGATCAAAAGACCTAAAAGAAGACCGTAAATAGTTACACATATAAATGAATATAAAATGATATAATTATATAATGAATCCATCATGCTCACCCTCTGAACCGTGAGACCTTGCAGGGTTTAGGCTGCCTCTTCATCTCTTCTCTCCGCAGGGCGAGTTCCTCCGCACTGAGATGCTGAGGACACAGGATCAGTAAATGTGTTCATGTGAACGATCAGCTGTTTGCTGCACGGTTGCATTTTTATCTCAAAGTGTCCACACCTCGTACGTCTGTCCCTCCAAATCTTTAGAGTCGCACCAGTTTCCCCACGTGTCCCGCACGCGCCGCTTCCTGGTCCGCTGAAACGTGCAGCCAATCGGCAGTTAGCTCAAGGTTTTACATTCTTGAGGTCGGGTGTGTTTTATGGGAGTTTTGAGGAGTTTCTGGGTACCTACCATGCTCTGCAGTCTCTGGGCGAGCTGGTAGGCCTCAATGACATCTCTGCCCTCCTTGTGCTTGGAGCGGTCCACCACCTTTGGGCGATTGTAGACCGCTTGCTCTGTGAGAGAAGAGGCACGGCTCCAAATGAAAAAGGGAAGCCAGACTTAAGAAAAAGAGCAGCAAAATGCAGCTCAGAGAAGTTACCGCAGTTGAAGTTGATGGCTCCGATGAGCTCCAGGTAGGTGTGTATTCTCCCGATGCAGTTGACGTCTCCGCAGTTCTTCAGTCCAGGGCGGACTGACGTCTTGTTCAGGTACCTGGGCTTGCTCCTCAACCTGAACAACAAAAAAAAAGTAAGATATTTTTCTGCAGAGCTGTGGTTGACAAACGTTCCCGGACAGTTTGAAGTTTTACCACTGATCCAGGATGTAGTTTCGGATCTTAAGGTATCTTTCAGGGGTCTTGGACGGTCGTCCCTCAAAGAACTCTGGGATAGCTTGTTTCTCCTCCTCAGTGATGGTCTCCATGTCCATCTCTATTTCCTGCTCAGGCACCTTGAGCTCCTCCTCTTCGTCCTCCTCATCCTCCTCCTCTTCCTCCTCCTCCTCCTGGTCTTCTTCTGGCCCATCAGCTGGACTCTGCTCAGTCCTATCAGCACAATCTGGGCAGCAAATACGAACACAATGTAACACAAGAGTAAAAGAAATCCTCATCACGGGGTGGGTTATAAAAACAGAAGGTGTTGAGTCTCACCTGTGTCGTCACTACTGGCCTCCTCCAGTTGACCAGTCTGTGCTGGGCTCTCAGACTGGGAGACTTCTTCGTTGTCATCCGTCATCTGCTCCGAGTCTTTCTGAGCTGCCGTCTGAGGGTTTTTTGGAGGGGGTGGCTCTCTCTCGTCCAGCCCAGTCACAACGGTCTTCTCCGAGGAAGGGAGGGAAGACGAGGGTCGAGGAGTTTGCGGAGGCAGCGAGGTGTGGCCGAGTCGGTCCTTTGTCTCAGGCAGACCTGGCTCTTCCTGCTCCTCTGTGTCCGTCTGGACATCACGCTCCGGCTCACAGAGGTCAGTTCTGAGCTCAGCCGGCGGCCCGTCGTCGCTCAGATCATCGGTGATGTCCACCTCCTCGTCCTCTTCATCAGAGAGCTTCTCTATGCGGACAGTGTTTGTCAGAGCGGACGCCTGACTGGAGGTGGGCTGAGGAGGCAGTAAGTGTGGCTCGGGACCAGCAGAGGGAGCTGCAGCTCTGGGTTCTGATGTAGTCTGAAAAAAACAAAAAAAGCATGCACAGATGACGAAAGAGTTTGTTCGTTTTCACATTTCTTATTTCTCAGACCGTCCTGAGGAATGTGTTTCTGATTGTGAAAGAGTTTGAGCACTGAGGAACGACCACGGTTAGGCTCGTATTAACAGACTGGAACATGTGAAAGTAAAAGCAGGTCTCACCTTGTGTTTGAAATACTGTCGGGCATAACTCTTGACCTGAAAAATGGAACGGCTGCCGACCAACTTGGCAATCTTAGTCCACCTTCGACCAAACTGAGCCTGCAGAAAACAAACACACACCTGGTTATTTTTGGACAATACGCTCACAAAGTAACATGTCAAAGGCCTGTAAACACAAGCACCAAGAGCTCACCAGTCCTTCCTCAAACAGGTCTTTCTCCTGTTTGGACCAGCGAGTGGAGGAGCCGGAACCCGAGGCCGACGTCTTGGCCGGAGACCTGAACACCCGACGAGACAAAAGTGTGACGTACAGCAAAATGCTAACAACTGTTGGTGTGAATGCTAAAGAAAGGTTTGACTCACTTCTTCACTTTGGGCTTGTTGTCTGCATCACTTTCCCAAATGTGGTCCGGAATCCCCTCACCTGTCAGGTAGTATCTACAAGCTTAGTTCAGGACCAACACGTTTAATACAGAATGTCACAAGCAATTATCTGATAAATGACTCTTTAAAAGATAAATGAATGTGTTCATCATTAATCTTTATTTGTTTACACTCTCTCACTTTTCTCTCTTTATTTTATGTCTTTAATTTCATTTCTACAATTAGTCACTTAATGATCACTGGGAGGAGCTTTATTAAAATGAGCAATATTTGTCAAGACAAGTCATTCCTTAGCATCTCACCTCTCATAGTCTCTGCATTGGACAATACAGAATCTATTAAAATTGCAGTAAACGATATTATTTTCATTTTAAGACGATTTTATGCCACTGATATAATGCCACCCTTTAAAAGAGCAATGAACCTTTAATTTTTAAAACGCAAATAATAAAACAGCTAGAAACTAGGCCCAGTTTTACATAATGTAATTTATAAATGTTTACTGTATATGTCGATACGTCACTGGCTCTGTCAGTGGTCTGCAGTAAAGACACTTAAAAGGACTCTGCAGCCATTACGACACTGTCGTTTACAACCGTGTGTGTGTGTGTGTGTGGTGCGTTTGAGGGCCAGTGAAAAGGATACTGTTCCTCCAGCAGCATCCTCTCGATCACCTCCCTGTTCTCCGGGCTGATGGAGCTGTCCAGCTGCCATGGCTGCACAACAGAGACACGCACACACACGCACACACACGCACACACACGCACACACACGCGCACACACACGCACACACACACACACACACACACACACAGAGTCAACATCATCAACAACAACAACAACAACAACACAAGCATCAACAGCCACACAGGAGTCAGTTAGCCTAGTGAACTCGTACCAGTATCCCCGCGCTTCTCTTCCACCCAGACTGGATGAACTGCTCCGGGACTAGACCTCCTCCGTCCAGCTCACTGAAACAGAGAAAAGACACGATAAGGGCCGAGGACTCCCATCAGTCCACGGAGACCCACAGAGCAGCTAACCGCCGCTGTAGACCTCTACGTGGGACTAAAGAACAACGAGCAGGTCTCCGTAGATTAGTGTGGACAACAGTACACAGGACCAGAGCACCGTGTGAGCGTTAATTCATCAAAAACAGGCAATATTCTCACCGAATACTGTTGTCAAATTCGTCTCCCTCGATGTCAACATCCACCTCGTCCTCCATGTTGTCGGATAAACGTAAACAACGGAGAGAGAGCGAGAGCGCGAGAGCGCCGGAGGAAAAACAGCGCTCTGCTCTGCTCACAGCGACACCTGGTGGTGGGATGAACTAAAAACCTAATACAACTACTATTACTACCACAACTGCTGCTACTACTACTGCTAATACTATTACTACCGCTACTTCTACTACAGTGGCGGCTGGTGGAAAATGTTCTAGGTAGGGCTGTGCCACATCCAATCAATTTCAGCAAACATCCCAGAATTATTTAATGCAAACAAATTTAAGGTATCAAACACGTATTACTACTTTGCAGTTAAATATTTCACCTTTATTCCAACATGAAAAAAAGCAGTAAATAACACTTTGACAAACACGTCAGGACATCTTATTTTTGTCACCCTCACAAGCAATTCAGTATAATATAATATATAACAGTGAAGACGGATCACAGATTAAACTCAAGCTTTATATTCGATTAGTTTTCTGATTTAACATCTGGTGTTTGATTAGTATTATTAGCAGTGGTGTAATGTCACTAATATAATAGGGTTAAAAAATGAAACTACAATATATCACCATGAAACTTTCCCAGTTGATTACAAACAATTATTTTTTTGTTTTACACGTTTTCTGAAATGTTTAAATATGCAAATGATGCCTTATATAAAATGTGACAATTTGCATAATTTTCTAAAACATAAATCTGAACATCGAATAAAGCCATGTTCAAAATGATTGTTTTCTACAGAGGGAATATTGGATATCTCTACATATCACTCAATGAATCAGAAAATACTGTCAGCCATAAAAAAGTTTTGAGTAATAAAATGTATAAGTCAGGCTGTGAATGATTTATGAACAAAGCCCTCAGTAAAAACCTTCAGAATATAGAGGAATGAAACAGGAACATTTGGTGTAAGAGTAGCTGAAGTGGAGATTTCTGAAATGAGAAAAAAAAAACAACTTCCAAAACAACACACACCACAGGCTCCATCCAATGGTTTCCTACATTTTGTTTAGTGTCCTGTAGTATAATATCTGCGGGGAGAAGTATTTGCATCTCCTGCATGACTTAAATACTGAAGTGTGTGTTCAGCTTTAACCACCAGCAGGAGTAATATGAACCTGCACAATGCTGCTGATGAAGACGCCTTTTATCCCATAAAAGTTGTTCCATTTATCATATTTTACCTTTTCCTTTACAAACTAGGTCTGATTCAAGACTGATTGATGATAAACGAACAGTAAAGGCTAAATATGAAGACACCAACAATAAAAGACAAACGTTTGAGACAACAAAAAAAAGGTTTTATTTAGAAATTCACAGTTTCTAATGGCACTACAGTTTTGTAGTAACTCACTCCTGCTCAAAAAATACTGTGCAGCTCTTCAGAGTTAATCACACAGAGAAAGAGTGAGAGAGAGAAGAGATAGCACTTGGCATATAAGGTAAAAAAAAAAAAAAAAGGCATGAGGAGTCATTCAAAGTGCACTGCGCTCCTAGAATTTCTCTCCGAGGGCGTTCTCCCTCGTCACTGTGTTACGGGATAAGTAGATTCAAAGTAGTCTCTCATAACACAGACAAACACACACATACATGAGATCAACAAATACATCCTCACATGCATACAGGTTTACACACACACACAAACATAAGATCGTACACATTCAAAGAAAAAGAAAGAAAAAAAACAAAAGGGTAAAAAACCCAACTCATGATTTGTGGAACATACAGAATCACATTAATAGTGTTCCACATTCACCCATCTCCGCTGCGTTCCCTTTATTAGACCATTCACATCCGTCTCCTCACAAAAGTGTCATTCAAAGGTGGGGCGACCACGTGAAGTCAAAGAGCCGTGACAAGTGAAAAAATAAAATAAAAATGAGTACAATGAGAGAGGATGCACAGATCAGGGGGGAAACAAGCAGGCGTGAAGATGAAAGCCTTTAAAGCTCCGTAATGAGAACACACGTTAAAGAGTGGCTGATAAAAGCAGGCATATATTAAAACTTCACAGTCACAGAAAAGTCGTGCAATGGTGGCCGGAGGCGACCTCGGATGAAGACATGTAAAAGAGGAAGAGGAGCTGTGGAAGCTGGTCAGGAGAGGCAACGATGCTCTTTTGAGAGGCAGAAGAAAATAATCTCCTTAAAAAAGCCCAACCACTCAGAGCCAGTCAGAAACTGCATACATGAAGAAAAATATACATTTTATTATTTAAAAAAAAAATGAATTCTCACATGCGCATCCCTACCTACGCTGCTTAAACATTAAACCGAATGTCGGCGTGTTTAAAACCGGTTTGGTAAGTGATCAGACGATAACCAACACTCATTACAGCCCTTTCCACTACGTCTGCTACCCAGCAGCTCTGAACAGACACAAAAAGCAGCAGTGTGACGATCCCAACAACTTTCTCTCGATTATCGTGTAAAAAATAAAAATTGCGGCAGGACACGTGACTGTGATCAAACAGACTCGGGGGGGGGGTCTGCCATAACGTCAGGCTAAGATGTAAAGAAATAAACAAAAGAAGAAGAAAGTGTCAGTGCAGTCCAGTGCGTTTCACTGTGATATTTCTAAGTAACGTTCTCACATGGATGAACTGCAGGACTGGGAGACTGGCAAGCCAGCTGGGTTCGTTTTAAATAAATAAATAGATAAATAAAACTGGTCTGTCAGACTCGGCTGCAGGGTCCCAGTATGGTGTGCATGTGTGTGAGTGTGTGTGAGACACAAATGTAAACATTCAGCTCTGCAACCTAACGTGCTCCTACAGTACACTGTGCCCTGAACAGGGAAACGCATCGCCTCCATGATGGTTTGAGAATAAACAGGAGCATGGCTCAGCTATGGATGAGCGAAATATTGAAATATAACAGAACAAAACGATATAAACCTCCACGGTGGCTTTGCCTCTGGCCTGTTTGAAGCCTTTACCTTCCTCACAGTCACAATATCCTCTGTAACAAGTGCAATTTCTCTGTATTCGATGTGTGAGCAAGCTCTTCGGGGCCAGCCCAAACTAACGGAGTGAGGACAGTTTCATGGTGAAACTAGTGGGATCCACAAACTGCTGCGATCGTCTTTGTAATTACGAGGGTTAAGCGGGACACTAAACGCATTCGGACATGTAAAAATCCTGTTCTTCATTCAGCTCTGGTGGTTGGTTTGGAAGAGACCGGCGGGGGGGAAGAGAGGGCGAGAGAGAGAGGGCGAGAGAGAGAGAGCGAGAGAGCGAGAGAGCGAGAGAGCGAGAGAGAGAGAGAGAGAGAGAGAGAGAGAGAGAGAGAGAGAGAGAG